GAGCCCCGCATCGGGCTCCCTGGGAAGCCTGCTTCTCCCTCTCCCACTCCCCCTGCTTTTGTTCCCTCTCTCGCTGTGTCTCTTTCTGTCAAATAAATAAATCTTTAAAAAAAAAAAAAAGGTTTTTTATTTGGGGCGCCTGGGTGGCTCAGTCATTAAGCATCTGCCTTCAGCTCAGATCATGGTCCCAGGGTCTTGGGATTGTGTCCTGCATCAAGCTCCCTGCTCAGCGAGAAGCCTGCTTCTCCCTCTCCTACTCCCTCTGCTTGTGTTCCCTCTCTTGCTGTCTCTGTCAAATAAATAAATAAAATCTTAAAAAAAAAAGGTTTTTTATTTATTTATGGGGGGGAGCAGAGGGAGAGGGAGAAGCAGCCTCCCCTACTGAGAGCCGGATGCTTAACTGACTGAGCACCCAGGTGTCCCTGAAAATTTTTAAGAAGAAAATTCCATTCACAGGAAAAGTGCAGGTGAGTGGATGGGTGAAATAGGTGATTGGAATTAAGAGTACACTTACTGTGATGAGCACAGAGTAATGTATAGGATTGTTGAATCACTATATTGTACACCTGAAACTAATATAATACTGCATGTTAATTATACTTTAAAAAAAGAAAAAATCCATTCACAATTGTATCAAAATGAATAAAATTCTTAGGAATAAATCTAACAAAAGAAGTGTGTACAAAAAAGAGTTGATGCAGCAGTCTAAACACTTATCGTTAGAAACACCCTGCCTACTAACTTAACCCTTGGCAGGCATCTGGGAACCTGGATTTCAGGAGAGTTCCCATCACTCCAAAAAAGTGATCAGAGTGGTTCATAATATATAAACTGTACAAACAATATGATTTAAAATTTTTTTTTAAAGATTTTATTCATTTGCCAGAGAGAGCACATGTACAAGCAGGGGGAGCACAGGCAGGGGGAGAGGCAGAGGGAGAAGCAGGCTCCCTGCTTAACAGGGAGCCAGATGCGTAACTTGATTCCAGGACCCTGGGATCATGACCTGAGCTGAAGGCAGCCGCTTAACCAACTGAGCCACCCAGGCATCCTAAACAATATGATTTATACTGACTATCGTTTTCTTTCTGGGTATCTGGAATTTGCGCAGGTACCAGGCAGAGACTGCCTATCTGACCAGCCCTAGTGAGTTGAATAGTGCTCCTTCCCCTAAAGATATATCCACCTAAAACCTGTCAATGTGACCTGTGGAAAAAGGGTCTTTGCAGATGTAATTAAATTAAGGATCTTGAGATAGATCACCCTTGATTCGGGGTGCGGGGGGGAGGGGTCGGCCATCCTAAATCCAAAGACAAGTGTCCTAAGAAAAAGCAAGAAGACGGGCGCCTGGGTGGCTCAGTTGGTTAAGTGACTGCCTTCGGCTCAGATCATGATCCTGGAGTCCCTGGATCGAGTCCCGCATCGGGCTCCCTGCTCAGCAGGGAATCTGCTTCTCCCTCTGACCCTCCCCCCTCTCATGTGCTTGCTCTCTCTCATTCTCTCTCTAATAAATAAATAAAAATCTTTAAAAAAAAAAAAAGAAAAAGCAAGAAGACACAGAGGACAAGTTGATGTAAAAATAGAGGTAGAGATTAGAATGATACATCTACACTCCAACCAAGGTTTGCAGGCCGCAATCGGAAGTTAACAGAGAGGTCTGGAACAAATTCTTTCTCGCAGCCTCCAGAAGGAACCAAACCTGCTGACACCTTGATTTCTGACTTCTGCCTCCCAAACTGTAAGACAATACATCTCTGTTGTTTTAAGCCACCTAGTTTGTATCCATTTGTTACAGCAGCCTTAGGAAAGAAACAGGAATTCCTGGTAAGCATCTCTAACGAACTTCCCTGGTTGGCAACATTTCACACCCTTTATCACAACTCATTGGGACATTTAAGTGCCTCCTCTGGGACTCCACTGAGAGAGGACCCTGGAGGCTGGAGGCTGGTTGACTCCGGCCTGGGCTAGCTTAGCCTAACTTTGGAGCGGGAGCTTTCATACAAACTCAAATACATACGGCACGTCTGATCGGGTAAGTTACTGTCATAGCTCCAAACTTGCCCTTCGGCGGTGTGGGGCTGCTGGGGCCTCTGCAGCCACTTTTCGGGGGACACATTTCTGCAGGCAAGGCTCTGCCCAGTGCGAGCGCTCGAGGGAGACGGGAGGCCAGAGAGGGGCGGGGCCTTGGCCGGCAACCTCGCGCCTCCATCGCGGCACAGGTGGCTCGAATGATAGTTGTTACAGGCATTCTGTTCGGTTTCGACCCACAGGCCTGAGCGTGCAAGGCAGCCCAACCGGGTCACAGAAATATTGGGGAGCGGGGGAGCGCCGGCCGCAAGAGGAGAAGCAGAGGCGGGCACGGACCTGGAGACAACGATGCCCCGCTCAGTGTTCGGATACGAGCCCAGTACCTGACACCCTGTGCGGACCCCACACCTCGAGGCGACCCCAGGGAGAACAAGAGCGGGAGACCCGGAATCGCTACCAACGTTCCAACTAGGCTGGGATTCGTGTCAGGCGGCTGGCAGGGTGTCAGCAGCGACCACGCACTTTGGTTGTGAAAGCCGGCCGCGCACGCTCCCGCCAGCCTCCACTCCACACCCTTCTCGGGCTTCCCGGCTCGTCCGAGCGGCGCCCCCGGAAGCCCCAACCCCCGCCTGACCCGACTTCCCAGGGTCTCCCACGGCGCCGCCACCGCCCTCCCGGAAGTCCCTCCTCCTGGCTCTGGCCGCTCTGGCCCGAGCGGGCCCTTCTCGCTGGTGGACTGGGCGCCGCTCCGCCGCACGGCGCTCCTCCGCCGCCAGGGGCGCGGAGGCCGTGCCAGGGCCCCTCTGGCCCGCGGCGGCCGCTCTACTGCTCCGCGGCGCGGTCCCTTCCGGTGCCGAGGCCACCGCCTCCGGGCTGTTCCCCCGGCAACGGCTCGGAACCGTTCCCCCGGCAACGAGCGGCGGGCGCAGTCCCCGCAGCCCCCGCAGCCATGGACGCGCTGTC